GCCTTGTATTAACTCTTCCCTCCCTCCCCTCCTCATGTACTCCTGATAAATTATAAATTATTATTATTTTCATATCGAACACCGTCCACTGTCTCCCTTCACCCACGTTTCTATTCTTTGTCCCCTTGTGAGGTGGGTTATATATTGATCATTGTAGACAATTCCCTGTTTCTCACCCTTATCCCCCACCCTCATGGTATTGCTACACCCATTACTGTTCCTGAGGGGTTTATCTATCCTGGATTCTGTGTGTCAAGAGTTCTTAACTGTACCATTTTACATGTTCTGGTCTAGCTCGATTTGTAAGGTTGAACTGTGGCCATGATATAGGGGTGCTGGGGGCATGGGAAGGGGAGGAAGCATTAAGGGGCTAGAGGAATATTGTGTGTTCTGTTGGTGCTATGCTGCACCCTGGCTGACTCGTTCCTTCCTTGTGACCCTTCTGTGAGGGAATGTCCAATTGTCTACAGATGGGCTTTGGGTCTCCTCTCTGATCCCCATCATTTGCATCATTTTATTTGTATGTTTTGGGTCTTTAGATGCCTGTTACCCGATCCTATTGACAACCCATGACCACACAGGCTGTTGTGCTTCTTCCATGTGGGCTTGTTGCTTCTATGCCAGATGGCTGCTTGTTTAACTTCAAGCCTTTAAGACCCCAGATGCTATATCTTTTAATAGCCAGGCACCCTCAGCTTTCTCCACCACATTTGCCTGTGCACCCATTTTGACTTCAGCAATCCTGTAGGGAAGGTGAGCATCACAGAATGCCAGGTTATTAGAACAAAGTGTTCTTGTGTTGTGGGAGTACTTGAATAGAGACCCAGTGCCTGTGTGCTACCTTAATACGTAACATTTAAGTATATGTGCATAGATCTATACCCCTATTAATATATTTATATATTTACATAGGTGCATGCCTATATTTGTACCTCTATAAATGCCTTTTGCCTCCTAGTTCTTTCCTCTATTTCTTCTTACTTTTCTTTTGTCCCACTATCATGTTTGTCCTTCATTCAATGCTTACTACTTTCTCTCAGCTACATTGCACTTGATCAACCCCTGCCAGGCATTCTATGCCATCCTGACCATCAATTTTAGATATCTTATTGTTCACTTGTCCCTAGGTTTGTTAGTATTTGTCTTTTCATATCAGTGAAGTCATATAATATGTGTCCTTTTGTGATTGGCTTATTTCATTAAGTATAATGTCTTCAAGCTCTATCCATATTGTAGCATGAATCAGAGCTTCATTTGTCCTAATAGCTGAGTGGTATTCCATTTTATGCTTGTACCATATTTGGTTTATCCATTCAACTGCTGTTGTTAGGTGCCATTAAGTAGCTACCCATAGCTACCCTATACACAACAGAATGAAACATTGTACGGACCTGTGCCATTCTCATAATTGTTCCTTTGCCTGAGCACCCTGTTGCAGCCATGTGTCAATCCATCTTGATGAGGACATTCCTCTTTACCAGGCATGCCCCTACACTTTCTAAAGCATAATGTCCTTCTCCAGGGACTGCTTTCTCCGGGAAAAATGTCCAAAGTATGTAAGAGGAAACTGTAACTTACTATATTTTGTATTTTTTTTCACTCTTAACCAT